TTCCATTTTTGCAGCCTTTATTTCCTTTTTGCATATTCTGTTCTATTCTTTGTAATGTTTGAAAGATGATAGTGTTCCTTCATTTTTATATTTAATAAAAGCTCTTTTCTTATTATCTATAGCCTTTTTAACTTTGGCCGTAAGCCACATAGGTTTGATTTTTAGCCTTTTAAACTTGTTGCCCATGGGAATATATTTTGCAGTGTGTTCACATACAGTCTTTTTGAAGAACTCCCATTTCTGTGTTGTGTTCATCAATGCCAATATTCTCTCCCAGTCTTGGAGAGCGGCTCTCAGCCTTGGAAAATTACCTCTCTTGAAATTGAGCGTTTTTATTTTTCCCATATGTGCTTGCTGTTTACAGCTAACAATAAATGAAATCATGTTATGGTCACTGCTACCCAGATGTTTTTTTATATGGACATTCGTAATAAGCTCTGCATGGTTTGAGATGACCAGGTTCAGCAGAGCGTCATTCCTAGTAGGGGCCTCTATGAACTGTACTATAAAATTGTCCTGTAGTAGGTTTAAAAATTTTGCCCTTTAACTGTTCCAGCAGTACCATTACTCCAGTCAATTTCCGGGTAGTTAAAATCCCCCATTATTATCACTGTCACAGCCCTTTCAATCTGTGCAAGGAACTGAGTTTCCACCTCTTCATTAACACTGGGAGGCCTATAACAAACTCCAATGATTACCTTTGTAGTACGCACCCCCATATGCAGTTCCACCCATAATTCAGCCTCATCACACTCTCCATCAACTAGGTCCTCTTTCACACACTCGCTCTGAAATCACTTCTCACATAGAGACATACACCACCACCACCTTTCCTACTTACCCCGTCTCTCCGAAAGAGAACATAGCCAGGAATATTAATGACCCAGTCGTGAGAAGAATGAATGAAGCCAAGATTCAGCAATACCAATTAAATCATAGTTCTCTTCATGCAACAAAGCTTCCAACTCGCCTATTTTGCTTGGCAGACTTCTGGCATTGGCGAACAAACACTTTGATTGACACCTTGTTCAAATTTACTTAGCAAATGATGGCGTGTGTGTGTAATATAATTTTTTTTTTTTCTTATATTAGAAATGGAAGTGATCAGCAACTTATTGTGGGACTGTGATAGTGTGGTGGGCATTTTGACACTGGGTGAGAGCTAACATTGACATCACCAGAGACACTAATATAGTGATAATATACACTGTCATTGTACTAATGAAACTGGCTGGGAAGGGGTTAACATCTGGGAGTATCAAAGAGTTAACTGTGTACCGTTTTGCATGAGCTGTGTTTGTGCTTTTATTTGTGTGTGTGTGTGTGTGTGTGTGTGTGTGTGTGTGTGTGTGTGTGTGCGTGCGTGTGTAGGTATGCATATGTGTATGTGATTTTGCTCACCACTGCTGCCGTATTTCTGCTATGGGGCGGTGCTAAATCGGTTAATCTACACTCAGTACCCCAAAATGACAAAGTGAAAACCGTGTATTTATAAGGACCCCCTTCACTTCAATTTTGTTATGTTGCAGCATGTACATACATGTATTTAAATTCAGTTTTTTTTCATTAATCTACACTCCGTACCCCATAATGACAAAGTGAAAACCAAATTTAGGAAATGTTTGCAAATGTATGAAAAAGGAAAATCTGAAATATCACATTGGCATAAGTATTCAGACCCTTTGCAATAATACTTCAAATTTACTGTAGCTCAGGTGCCTCCTATTTCTCTTGATCTTTGCTGAGATGTTTCTACACCTTGACTGGAGTCTGTCTGTGGTAAGTTAAATTGATTGGACATGATTTGGAAAGGTGAATCCCTCTCTATAGAAGGCCTTACAGCCGGCAATCCATACTGTATCAGAGCAAAAGCCATGAGGTCAAAGCTTTTACAAACTCCAAGCAGGCTTTCATGTGTTTTACACTGAGAAGAGGCTTCCATCTAGCTAGTCTGCCATAAAGCTCAGATCGGTGGAGTGCTGCAGTGACAGTTGTCCTGGAACTTTTTTTCCCATCTCCACACATGATCTCTGGAGGTCAGTCAGAGTAACCATCGGGTTCTTGGTCACCTTTTACTAAGGCCCTGCTCCCCCACTTGCTCAGTTTGGCTGGCTGAATAGCTTTTGGAAGTGTACTGGTTGTGCCAAACATTTGAGAATAATGGAGGCCACTGCTTTTGGGAACCTTCCTTAGATCTGTGCCTTGCAATAATCCTATCTCTGCAGGCAGTTTTTTTGACATGGTGGGTTTTGCTTTGACGCCGTATGCATTGTCAGCTGTGAGAACTTTTATAGGTGTGTGCCTTTCCAAATCATGTCCACTCAATTTAATTTACCACAGGTGGACTCCAAACAGAATGTAGAAACATTTCAGCAATGATCAAGAGAAATGGGAGGCATCGGAACTAAATTTTCAAGTGCTATGGACAGAGTCTGAATACTTATGCCAATGTGATATTTCAGTTTTCCCTTTTTCATACATTTTGCAAACATTTCTAAATTTCTGTTTCACTTTGTCATTATGGGGTACTGTAAGGCCTTCAATAGAGAGGCATTCACCTTTCCAAATCATGTCCAATTTAACTTACCACAGACAGACTCCAGTCAAGGTGTAGAAACATCTCAGCAAAGATCAAGAGATTAATGAGAAAAAATGAATTTAAACACATGTATGTACATGCTGCAACATAAAATTGAAAAGAAGTGAAGGGGGTCTTTATAAATGCACTGCACCATTCTTTAACTTTTTCATACTGTCTAAGGCCTGGTTCACACCTACGTGTTTTTCAGTGCTTTTTGCATTTTGTAGAAACTCACGACAGTCCATTTTAACTTGGTTTCCTATGGGACACGTTCACATCTATGCATTTTCAGCCGCTGTGTTTTTGAATAAGAGTCAGGGACACTTTTGCTCGCAGCAGATTGCAACACGCATAGGTGTAAACCAGGCCTCAATCAGATTTTTTTTTTTTTTTTTTTTTTTTTGCCTTTACCATAAAATGTGGCAGCAGAATACATTTTGGCTCACTTTAAGAAGAAAGATTGTTTGCAAAAAATGTATTTGGCTACCATGCTGCGTGGCTGAGTAAATGTTAGAATTTCACAGCCAGGAAGGGGAGTTTAGCATGCTGGTCTTCAAGTGGTTAAAGAAGGGTTTTGTTAGGCTTTAGCACTACATGAAGCTTGTTGAAAGCCTGCTAGCAGCTTGTTTAATGTGACAGAATTCACATTAGGATCCGTGTTAACATTCCCAAACTGAAACCGAGTTCTTTAAATTAAAGGCTTTAACAAAGGTGCTCGAAGCTTACTGAAAGCATCTGAGATGCTTTGCAAAAGCTTGCTGAAAACTTCTCAAAAGCGTTATATACTCATTGATCTTGCACAAGTTGAAGCCTGTGTGGACAAGGCCTAAAAGTAACTAGATTGAACTACTTGCACCGGTTTTGGCATAGGCCTTTTTCAGTCCTTGCACAACAGAGCTCCGGGTGGGAGAGAAGTAGCACAAGGAGCCAGTCTGTTCATATCCTGGAAAAGAGCATGTTTTATAGGAGAAGAAAGTATGAAACTGTGGGCTGCAGTGGTCATGGTTGCTGCTGGCTGACCCAGGGGAGATCACGAGACCAGCCTGAAAATAAGTATATACTTCTTTCTTGCACAAGTTAGTCAGAATAGTGTTTTGGAGGTGGGAGGGGAGCAATTGTAATATTAGCTGTAGCCTGGAAATTCCACTTTAGAACCTCTAAATTCCAATTCAAATGATGTTACGAAATAGTTGTTTCCTTGTGCCTCTGTTGCCCTGTTCTTTGCTAAAAGTAGCAAAATCAATGAACGTTCTCTTTCATACAAAATACAGTTAAACAGGAAAATGCTGTAGTATGGCCACCAGATGGAGCTGATAATCATAGAATAGAAAATAAAGATTTACCATGTTTGTCAATGCCACCTAGTGTGCATAATGCAGTGTTTTTCTGATTCACTCTATTCTGTATGAACAATAACATTTGACTTGAAGAGAAAATAGCTTATAACAATCGGTTTTGTCCCTGTTCTCACAGAACAAGTATACATGCAGTTTCACACGACTCTGAGATAGATATCTATCTATCTATGAGATGTTTTTCAGACTTGTTTCTGTAACAATCCTATTGGTTTGTGAATGGAGATACCTTTCTATTGAAGTACCAAGTGTGCTCTGTTGATTTTATTTTTATGTGTTTAAAAGTTTTTTTTTTGCTGTGGTGTTTTCTTTTTTTTTTTTTTTTTAGAAACTTTGGGGCCCCCCACCAGTTTTCTCACTTGCCTGCCTGACTACTGTAATGATGTTAGGCTGTTTCTAATGGATTTTTACAAATCGGGAAGGTTGATGATATTGGGGCTGATTTTACTAAAGGCAAATAGGCTGTCCACTTTGCAAACGAAGTTGCACTTTGTAAGGGAATTTTCACCAGAGCCTAGTGAAGGATGTGAATCTCTGTTGACATTCATTCAGCTCTAGGGGATATTCCCTTACAGAGTGCAGCTTCATTTGTCTGGTCTGGGGAAATCTCACCATAGCTGGGTAGTATACATAAGAAGCAGAGAGCAATTGGACCCACAGATGAGTATCCAGAACTCAATCTAAGATTTGGTTCAAGTTGGTTGTGTATATTTGTGTGTTACTTAAGTCGGCCATACACTGATCAAAGGTCAGCCAGTTCAGCAGTGTGGGCAGGGAAATTGTACAGAAGTCGATCTACCAACTACAATCCTGCTGTTTGGCTTTTCCCTGCTCATTCGGCACCACAAGCTATAGCCGGCAGGGCTGATCTACCCCCGGCTGTTGGAAAACAATAGCTATGCATGAAGGATTGCTTCATCCACCTTGAATGTTTAAAGGGGGAGATTGGGTCATTGGGAATGATCCATCTATGATCTGCTTTTATCGATATGTGAACAATATACCTAAGCAAAACAAAAAAAATCATGTGCAGTTACTAACCTCAAAATTTGTATGTTCTTTTTGCAGAACTAAATAAAAATCCAGTAGAGGGATTCTCAGCAGGTTTAATAGACGATAATGACCTATACAGATGGGAAGTACTAATTATTGGCCCTCCAGATACCTTATAGTAAGTATCACTGTTCAAAATATATTTTCTAGCCATATTTTATTCATAGAATATCTCCACCCAGAGTAATTTGAAATCTGGAACCCAAATTTTGCGGTTTCTTTCTTTAGACTATCCCATTTTGTGCACAAAAGTCTTGTGTATTGTAATTCAGGGAGGTTAAGCGGAGGGGCTGGAACCTGTTAGAATTTTGTTCTTTGTGTACCGGTTGGGGAGATTGTCCCTCACTACTCTCCTGGTAACCACATAGAATATCACTCCAATGGGGAGAAATTTTTTGCAAAAAAAGTTCATAAGTCTAACTTCTCTGCTCTATTTTCTTTTCCCTGGCTTTTTCACACACCAATATATGCAAAAAAAAATTAGGATGGTCTGGTATGCTTCCTCCCATGTAAACACCCTGAATTCCTATTATTATTATACAGGATTTATATAGCAGCAACAGTTTGTGCAGCACTTTACAAAATGGAGTCACAGGACAGTTGCTGTATGTTTAAATACAAAAGGAATCTATATACTCTTTAACCCCCCCCCCCCCCACCACCACCACCACCACACCACCCTCAACAAGAGCTCAGAGGTCTCTGCCCATGGAGAGACAAGCTTGCTACCGCCCAGCTGGTCACACAGGTGAACAAAGACCTGATCAGCTTTGTTCAGCTCTGCAATATAGTAAAACGGAAGCGATGACCTGATATCACTTCCAGGTTACTCAGAACTAAACAGCACCATTTTTAAAAAAGCATTCAATCACACTGTTGGTGCAATTGAATTCTTTTAACCCTTTCACAGCCAGAGCAGTTGTTTTGGGGCGGAGGGAAGGTTTGCACACGTTTTAAAAAAATTATTATAGATCTGAAGATTACACAAAACCACCAAACATATATTTTCTGAAAACAGGCACCCTACAGAATAATATAGTGGTAGTTTTTAATTTTATATGTCACATGTTACTGCAAAGGTCTAGGACATGCAAATGTCAGTAAAAAACAGCGAATGTTAGGGCAATCAAACGCAATAAATTACCGAATTTTGGTTAAGTATAAGATGAGGTTGCACCGAGTAAATAGATGCCCAACATGTCAACCCTTAAATTTCGTGTTCGCCTATGAAATGGCAACAAACTTCATTACCCAATATTTTCTATAGGTGACGCTTCAAAAGCCCCCTATAGGTCATCAGTTTAGTGTGACGGAGGAGGTCTGGGGCTAGAATTATTGCTCTTACTCTGGCATGCGCAGCGATATGTAACATGTTTGTATGTTGCGTGGGGGGGGGGGCCTCAAACATTGTTTGGGAGGGGATCTTATGTACTTGTGTGTAACTTTTTTTTTTTTTTTTTTTCTTTTTTCTCCGCATAACATATGGGACAAAAAATCCCCTATGTGATGATTTTTGGTGACAGGTTTTATTTAGCCACTTCAAGTCCGGACACTTTTACCCCCTTCCTGTCCAGGCCAATTTTCAGCTTTCAGTGCTATCACACTTTGACAATTGCGCGGTCATGCAACAATGTACCCATATGGATTTTTTAGCATTTTTTTTAGACAGATAAAGCTTTATGTTGGTGGTATTTATTCACCACATGGATTTTTATTTTCTTTTGCTATATAAAATGAAAAAGTCCAAAAATGTTAAAGTTTTTTGTTTTTTAAATAAAATTTTGCAAATTTTCATCATAAATCTTGCCCAAAATTTATTCAGTTATCTTTTTAGTAAAAACGAAATAACACATTAGTTTTATAGCCAAAAATTATCATTTTTAAAAAAAATTTTTTTACATTTTTTATTTTTTATAATTTTTTTTTCTACATACGGTCACCCTGGCAGTACAGTGTAACCATGGTGACACTACTAGTGGTGGGTGATGAAGATTTTTTTTTTTTTTTTTTTTTTTTTACACTGGTTGCTTTTACACCCATAAAGGCTGTAAAATAAATCATTTCTCCTTCTCTCTGGCTGCATTCTTGCAGCCATTGAGAACTACTCTGTGAGCTGTGATTGGTCACAGCTTATCCCATGGTACAAGGCTGTTGTGAATAGCCTTGTACCATGTGACCTCTGTGATCATTCACAGATTTCACACGTTGTAAGCAATGATGTCAGAAGTGACATCTTGCTTAGTACTCTGCTTGTGATCACTGATTGACCAATCGGTGATCACATGATCAGGACCTCACACAGAGGTCCTGTACAATGATCGGTGTTCCGCTCTGTCCGAAGGACACAGCGAGCACCGGATCGCGGTGTTGCGCACTCCCAGGGAGCGCTCCCAGTCCAAAATGGCGGGCGCCGTTTATGAATGGCAACCCGCCCCTGGACTACTACTGTCCGGCCGTTTTTTATATACAGCGGCCGGACGGCAAGTGGTTAATGAGACATGCAGGGTCTAAAAGACCCTGCATGTCTCCTCTGGGCTCCCACTCAATGTATTGTAATGCAGACCACATTGTGATACATTGCTTCTCAGCTGTGCATACCATGAAAGTGAACCGGAAGTGATGTGTCACACGCTGCCTTTCAGGTCGCAGAAAGGAGGAGGAGAGCGGACATCTCCCCTCCACCTGCCGGTACACGTCATGTCAGCCCCGGGCCCGCAGATGCGCAAGCAGAGCCTGGATCACATGGCAGGGAGCCCCGGTACCACGTGTGTGTGGAAGCAATCGGGCGGCAGCGCAGCTGCCAGACTGCTTCCACTTGACTGGTAGGAGTCGGCCTGTTAGTTTTAGTCACCGGATTGTGTGTAAAACCTCCCCGCTGTTGCTGGCACCGAAAGGGTTTAGGGCAGAGGAGTCTCATGGACCCCAGATACCTTCATAAAGTGTACCTGTCACATGCCTTTTACTGTCACAAAGGATGTTTACATTTTCTGGGACCGCAATAAAAGTGAAAAAAAAAATACATTTTTAAAGTGCCCTCATCCCCCCCATGCTTGTGCGCAAAGGCGAATGCATGCTTCGGTCTTGCACTCACGCAAACAGTGATCGTCCCACACATGTGAGATATCTCTGTGGGCAGTAATTCTAGCACCAGACCTCCTCTGTAAATCTAAAGTGTAAATGCTTTTTAAAGTGTCACCTTTTGGATAGTAACATTTAGATCGTTTGTCGCTGGTGCAATTTTAAACCATTGTATGTTTGGTATCTATTTGCTTTGTGTAATATATTTTTATATTTTACAAAAAATTGGGTTATGTATTGTGTTTTTTGCATTAAAAGTCAAAGTGCTACCCCCAAAAATAAAATGTGATCACATAACCTCTGTTCTCAGCTGCATAAGGGGCTTAGAGAAATTGGAGGTGAAGACTGCAAAGGGGCATGTCAGCATGAGGCAAAGAACCCACAAACCCTGATCTTCCCAGTGATTAGCTGTGCAGGGGGTAGTGTCAGCACAAATCTTGGCAATTGGAGGACAGGTAGATTGCTCCCAGTCAGAAAACTGATGATTCTGGGATGAATTTGCTTCTATGCGTAGTGTGGGCAGTTTGAAATGGGAAATCGGGGACAGCCAGAATCGGCAGGTACTTCACACAAAGGAAGCAATCCAAACAAACAGGATACTTTTTACCACAAGTAGGCAGTACAGCAGACACATCAGGAATATGAAACGTATAATTTGATTGCACAGTATATGCAATTGTCAAATCTTGTAAATGTTTGTAAACAATTTTGTTTTTGTGTGAAATGTTTTTTTTTTTTTTAATTAAACTTTCCAGTGAAGGAGGAGTATTCAAGGCTCATCTTACTTTTCCAAGAGATTATCCCTTGAGGCCGCCAAAAATGAAATTTATTACAGAAATTTGGCATCCAAATGGTGAGTTTTTTTTTTTTTTTTTTTCCCTTTTCTTTGTGTAGGATATATAAAGGTCCTATAACTGGCCTGTCAGTTTTTAAAATGTACTCTAACTTTAACTTTAAAATTGAGTAAAGAAAACACTCTTCTCCTAGTCAGTGATGCATGACACATATTGCAAGGATTTTAACAGGCATTATTGCACACTGTTACCCCCTGCTGTTTCTAATGAACCTGATGATGTGGATTCCACTCACTTCCTACTTCCTGAATACACAGTAGGAGGGGCTTTTTCAGATATTTAGTCCCAGAAAAGTCACTTTTAGTAGTGGTAAATTACAGGAAAAAGTAGTTTCCATTTAAAGGGTGCAGTTTGGCTTGCTCAAGGTTTAAGGGATTTGTGTCCTGTTGGCCACTAGCGTAGTTAGAGCTGGTAGAGGGGAGTTTTATCTAGACCTAAACTAGCATTGCCGCAGTCACAATGCTTCGCTCCAAAGTTTATATGGTTCAGATATTAGTTGGCTGCAAGTGCTGATCGGATGCGGGTTGGAAGCTGGTTGAAATACCATCTTCTGTAGAACAGACAGCTGTACACATGGGCCAAAAGTCAGCTGATTCCTGTCAAATTGACCGATTTCGGTAAATTTTTGGCCTGTGTGTACAAGACTTAAGGCTCGGGCTTCTTGTTCTCCTTAGGCAGCGTGGGCTTACCTTGTTGACCTGCTGTCATTTTTTTTCCTTCTGAATCTAATTTAAGCTCCCAGTGAATCTCTATATTGACCATTCTGGTATGTTCTCATTTCAGTAATTTTATATGCTTCACCTGTTGGTGGTTGCTTATCTTGCAGCTTCTGCTGGTGTGGACCCTTTAGGGTAGTAATTCCCTTCATTGGCGATTTCTGTCCTGGTCTGACCATTAGGATGATCCTCTGTGACTTCCACTGGGTCGTTGGCAGTTTCTGTGTCATTTAGAAAACTTTGCCTCTTCTGGTTCAGATTTGCATGTTGATTCTTCTTATTGTTGCAGATTTGCTCCTGTTTCTTTCTTAGATCCATCAGTTGGACTGCTTTTGGATGTTCCAAATTCCTAAAAACTGCTAAATGCCTGTGTCCTTCAATGGATGACAAAGAACATTAAGGTTATTGTACTTACCACAACATTATTTCTTTGAAGTTAGTTCAGTGACCCAGGTCACACCCCTCCGGGTTTATTAGCCCTATATACCTCTTGCTCATAAATTTCAGGCATGACTTTTAGGAGCAGGTTTATATGGAAACTGGCCAAAGGTTTTTTCTTTTTGCCGGCGTACAAACCTACTGTAAGTAGCAGCATAAATTATAAATAATAAAAAAAATATATAAATGTGTGTCATGGCTAAAAATATTGGCACCCCTGCATTTCTGTCAGATAATGCACCACTTCACCCAGAACATTGTTGCAATTACAAATGTTTAGGCATGCTCATGTTTATTTTTGTTTTGTTTGTATTGGTATGACACACAAAAGTGGAGAAACGAAACAAAAGGACAAATCTGACACATTCTACACACAACCCCAAAAATGGACTGGACAAAATTATTGGCACCCTCAAATTAATATTTAGTAAGCAATAACTGAAATAAAATAACTGAAATGAATCGCTTCCTGTAACCATCAATGAGTTTCTTAGACCACTCTACTGGAATTGTGGACTTCTTCTTTCACCAACTGCTCCAGATCTCTCAGATTGGAAGGATTCCTTTTCCCAGAAGCTGTTTTGAGAGACCTCCATAGGTGCTCTATAGAATTGAAATCTGGATTAATTGCTGATCAGTCCAGTACTCTCCAGCGCTTTGTCTTAAACCATTTCTGGGTACTCTTTGACGTGTGCTTTGGGTCATTGTCCTGCTGTAAGACCCATGGCCTCTGACGGGAGACCCAACTTTCTGACACTGTGCCCTATCTTGCACCCCAGAATTCTTTGGTAGTCTTCAGATTTCATAATGCCATGCACACGGTTAAGACATCCATTGCCTGAAGCAGCAAAGCAACAAGGCCTCATTTCTTTTTCTGAAAACAGTAAAATGATGGACTTTGCCAAAAAGCTGTAATTTTGTTTTGTCTGTCGACAGCACATTCTCCCAAAAGGATTTTGGCTTCATCAGGTAAGTGTTGACAAACCAATCTGGCTTTTTTTATTTTTCTGCAGTGGGGTGTTCCTGGGTCTCCTACCATAGTGTCCCGTTTCATTCAGATGGCAATATATATTTGCGAGCTGACACAGTTGTACCCTGTGCCTGAAGGCTTTCAATTTGTCTGGAAGTTGATTGAGGTTCTTTATCCACCATTTGAACAATCCTTTGTTGCAATCTTTGATAAATTTTTCTTTCGTCCGTGTCCAGGCTACAGTGCCATGGGCTGTATACTTCTCGACAATGCTGTGCACACTGGACACAGGGACATTAAAGTGTTACTAAACCCAGGACCCTGCATTCACTATATCTGGTCTCCCACAGTACACAGAACATAGAAATGCAATTATTTTAGTAAATATAAACTGCTAAATACCTTTTCTCATCAGCTGTTCGAGCAGTCTTGTGAATTCAGCAGAGCACTGGTTAAAGCTTGTAGGAGGAGTTTTCTTTCTGCTCTAGGAGGATGCAAAACCCCTGACCCTCTGTCTGGACAGTGCTGATTGGCCCTGTGCTGATGACATGCACTCTCCCAAGAAAAAAAAAATCCTCTAGCAATAAACACTAAACTGAGCATGTGCATGTGCCTATGGGTTCAGTCTGTCTTTTTGGGTGGACATTTGAACAAGAGGAGGGGCAAAGAAAATGGGACCAAACAGCCTTTTTACACAATGCAGAGGATTACCCCTTAGGTTCCACAGTGAATATAACAAGCATGCTTTACTGCATATACAGACTGATTTACTGTTGTGGGTTTAGTAACACTTTAAGATCTCTGGAGATGGACTTGTATTGAGATTGTCCATGCTTTTCCACAATTTTTGTTCTCAAATCCTCAAAACTATTTTCTATATTGTCAGCACCTGTTAATTAACACTGGCGAGTTTAATTACAAATTACAGGAGCATTACAATCTTGGAGTGCAATTAGGTCTTACAATTTTTGAGAAGTTGCCAATAATTTTGTCAAGTCCATTTTTGGAGTTTTGCATAGAACGTGCTAGATTTGGCTTTTTGTTTTTTGTTTTTTTTTTCACTTTTTTGTGTCATACCAATACAAACAAAATAAACACGAGACTGTCTAAACATTTGTGACTGGCAACAATTGTTCTGGGAGAAGTGGTAAATTATCTGACAGAAGTGCAGGGGTGCCAGTATTTTTGGCCATGACTGTGTGTATGTATATGTGTGTGTATTTATTTACAGTAAATTATACTATACTATATTGCCAAAAGTCTTAGGACGCCAGCCTTTACACGCACATGAACTTTGCTGGCATCCCAGTCTTAGTCCGCAGGGTTCATTATTGAGTTGGCCCACCCTTTGTAGCTATAACATCTTCAACTCTTCTGGGAAGGCTGTCCACAAGGTTTAGGAGTGTGTCTATGGGAATTTTTAACCATTCTTCCAGAAGCGCATTTGTGAGGTCAGGAACTGATGTCGGATGAGAAGGCCTGACTTGCAGTATCTGCTATAATACAACCCAAAGGTGTGCAGGCCAGTCAAGTTCCTCCACCCCAAACTCTCTCATCCATGTCTTTATGGACCTTGCTTTGTGCACTGGTGCGCAGTAATGTTTAAACCGGAAGGGGCCATCCCCAAACTGTTCCCACAAAGTTGGGAGCATGAAATTGTCCAAAATGTCTTGGTATGCTGACACTTTAAGAGTTCCTTTCACTGGAACTAAGGGGCCAAGCCCAACCCCTGAAAAACAACCCCATGTAATAATCCCCCCTCCACCGAACTTTACACTTGGCACAATGCAGCCAGGAGAGTACCCTTCTCCTGGCAACCGCCAAACCCAGACACATCCATTGGATTGCCAGACAGAGGCGAGATTCGTCACTCCAGTAAACACGTCTCCACTGCTCTAGAGTCCAGTGGCGGCATGCTTTACTCCACTGCATCCGATGCTTTGCATTGCACTTGGTATTGTAAGGCTTGGATGCAGCTGCTCAGCCTTCGAAACCCATTCCATGAAGCTCTCTATGTACTATTGTTGTGCTAATCTGAAGGCCACATGAAGTTTGGAAGTCTTTAGCTATTGACTCTGCAGACAGTTGGCGACTTCTAACTGTGTGCTTCAGCATGCGCTGACCCCGCTCTGTCATTTTACATGGCCTGCCACTTTGTGGCTGAGTTGCTGCTGTTCCCAGTTGCTTCCACTTTTTTATAATACCACTAACCGTTGACCATGGAATATTTAGTAGAAAGGAAATTTCATGGATGTACTTATTGCAATGGTGGCAACCTGTCGTGGTACCACGCTTTAAATTCACTGAGCTCCTGACAGTGACCCATTCTTTCACAAATGTTTGTAGAAGCATGCTGCATGCCTAGGTGCTTGATTTTATACACCTGTGGCCATGGGGGTGATTGGAACCCCTGAATCCAATGATTTAGAGGGGTGTCCCAATACTTTTGGCAATATAATGTATATATGTATGTGGAAAAACTTTCCCGCGTGCTCTAAAGGCTTTGTCTGTATGAAGTTTCAAGCAATATCTTGAAGCTAAAACTAAGATTAGAATTCCCTCACACCTCTGTTAGGGAACAGGTATGTTAATTTGTCATAGGAATCGGTTGGCACTGAGGCCAGAGCCTGATAAAAACAAAGGCACAGTGTCACTAAATTCTCTCCCCAGCCACTGTGCCTGTCACACAGACAGGCATAGTGGTTGGGATTTTTTTGGCTGGCTGTACCCTGATGGGCAAGATCTGAGACTCGTTCCCCATGGTATCCACCCCATTGTGATTGACAGCAGAAAGCAGTGGGTGGATTCTACAGTATATACCCTATTGGACTGAATAGCGGCTATACAATCCTGCCCACTGCCATCTGCTGTCAATCGCAAAGCAGGCAGAACAGTCAGTGTGCCTCGGTCACTATTTGCTAGGGTGCTGTTGTGCAACTGACAGTCATAACCAATGACTAATGTATGGTCCATCAGCCAACAACCCTGCCCCTTTGTTTACATTCAATTGTAATCTGGGGACTATAGCTAATCCGTGGTAATTTAAAAAAAAAATCCATCCTAACTAGTTTGCTGTAGGCATAATAAATATCAGAACTGTTAATAGATATATTTGATGATTTTAACAGAACCAAAGGCTAATTAAACAGCTTTAAAGTGTGCCTAACATAGTTGTTAGCTTTTTTTGCACACTAAATAGCTGCATTGGTGTGTGTCAGATCCTCTGACTTCCATGCCACCTGTAGTATCATTTTAATATCAATCTTATGAGGTGGGGTTAAGTTTTTGTTGATTTTTTTTTTTGCCGTGATGTAGGAAAGGGGATAGACTGCAGGTGACCCAGATGTCAGAGGATTCCGACACTCTTGAAAGTGTCGATTATCTTTAAATTCATCCTGGAGAATAACGCTAGTTAGTGAGGATGTGGAGACAAAATAGAGTACTACTATAAAGTACCTTTTTTTTTTTCCTCCTTTTTTTGGCACATAACCGTGTGCAAACCAACTCGGGTTTGGGTAGATTGCAGGGTGTTTGTGGGGGTTACCCATTTTGTGTTATGTTCAGTGGGGTTGCCGCCCGCCAATACCTACCGGTCTAAACTTTGGTACAAAGCATTGCGACTAGGCCATGTAAACGCCCTGCTGCCAATTGCAGCTTAAGTGGAGGGGCAGTTGTTGGGCGGCCAACGCAACTCAACCAAGCTTACTGAAAGTTTCATAAAAGCTTGCTATTCACACTGTTCTTGTACAAGCTGGAGCTAATGTGGAACAGTCTTTCATGTCACACAGTAATCAATCTGCTTTACAGGACAGATTTGAAAATGAAACGAGGATTCTGATTGGCTGTTGGAAGTTTTACAGCACACTTTCATACATTGTTTAAAAGCAAAGAACTTTTTCTTCACTTGGATATATTTTTTTCCCTTTTTTTTTTTTTTTTTAGTTGATAAAAATGGTGATGTGTGCATTTCCATTCTTCATGAACCTGGTGAGGATAAGTATGGCTACGAAAAACCAGAAGAGCGCTGGCTTCCAATTCATACGGTGGAAACCATTATGATCAGTGTAATTTCTATGCTAGCAGATCCCAATGGAGACTCCCCAGCCAACGTTGATGCAGCAGTATGTTTTATATTTTTAAAAATATTTTTGGGGGTTTTTTAATCACCGTATTTCTTTAATAATGTTTACTAATGATGTTCATTCTGGCATAGACAAGGTGTAGAATACCTGCTACCTAAAACCTACTGTAATAAATTTGTTGCCAAGAGTAACCCCCCCATATTTAGGCTTTAGCCGACACCAAAAACTCGGCCCAGTTACTAGCTTTGGTTATTCACTGCATACAAAAGAACCCAATGAGTGCAAAGAGCAAATTGTCAGTTGTTTTGCAGATGTATGTTTTATATGCCAAACGTTTTTATTTATAAAACCTTTTGGCAATATGTGATCAGAAACTGACAAAAAGTCAAATCTTCATTACAAAGTAGATTTCATTGAATAAATGGACATATTTTTATAAAGCATTTTTTCACTTTAAATTTAGATTTATTTTAATCCAGTGTAAACTCAAATGGCTAAATACTTATTTTCTGAAAATCCTTTTCTTTGTTTCATATACTTCCTACCACACTGTAGAACCATTTTTTTTCTTTACTGATTTAGCAATTAAACAGTTTTTAATTCCCTGTTTTTTATTTCCTGTAATGCAATCACCATTTCATACTGATCATTGGGCAATTTCTTCATGTCGCACCAGATGTTGTCTATGCTGTTAAGAGGGTATTATAGTTGACTTGTAAAGGGTTTTTAGGACCCTTTTTGCCATGTTCATTATTGCAGTAACATATTTATTACGCAGTCAGGAAAATTACTTTGAAATTTCCTTGTTTCAGCTGTACAATTTCCTGGATCCCCTTTCTACTGATTGAACAGCAGTGATGCTGCTGCTGTGCTTCTGGCCACCCCTCACCCTTCAGCCCGCTGATAGGACAACAGGAGATGATTGTTTCAACTGCCTGTTCTGTACTTGTACGTTTACAAAATTGACTGGACAGATCTGCAACTCGCCCTGTAGAGGTTAAGCTGGACACATAACTAACACACGTGTGTGTTTGTGTATACATACTCTCTCTTTCTAACACACGTGCGTACACACACAATACATGGTCAAAAGTGGAAGCCTGAACATCAAACCTAAATGAGCTTGTCAGACATCCAATTTACAAAACCATGGGCATAAAGCTAAACTCTAGGCAGGTATAAGGCACACATGTATGCAATTCTTTATACAGTATATTAAGGCCATTTCACACTTTGCAGTGCTTTGCTGCATGTTATTTCCTGCATGATAAGGCAACTAATTCATTTTGAATGGGCAGCAAGCACCTTAGCATGCCTAAAAATGGACCTGACCCATTTTTGGCAATGCAGCGCATCAGAACACATGGTAGTAGGTAGGCAGAGCTTGTGCGTACTGTGTTGTAATGTAGGCTCTAGCAAAACACAAAGGTATGACGCAAGACTAATAGATCATTATCTGTAACTTGCTTCACTCTCCAGTTACAGGGAGCATGTGATGGCCTATGCTGGAAACTGACTTACAGAACTGGAGGTGGGGGGAGGTTGAAGCATCTCCTAGATTGCAGGTGGCTGTACAGCAATTTTTTCCTTTGTGTAGATTTGGCCTTGATTTGGTACATGAAAGTCTTTCCCCAATTGTTGCTACCTGGTTGGAAGATCACAATTGTCTTAAAGCTGATTTCCATATTTCCTGTCAAGAACATACTTGATGGAACTTTAAACAAAGTACAATATTTGGATACTTTTTTTTTTTTTTGCACAATAGATGAAAATCCTTTTTTTACATGAATAAAGCAATTTATAAAAAGGCAAGCTGATTGTAAACACTACCATAGATCAGTATACAATCTATATGATATGATAGTCACATAACAATACATATATAAATTCCAAGTTTTCACGTATTTGACAAAACCATATTGGGTACATTCTTTCATTCTTGAGCCTTTTGCAATACATTTTTTAATGCAAATGTATCTCATTTAAAAATCCGCTTGACTGTGCTCTAGCATGAACAGTACCCTTTACTGGAACACCTGAACGCAATATTTTTGAGAAGTTGCTACATACTTTAGTTACCATAGTAGATGTAATGGCCAGGTGTCCAAATAATTTTGTCCAAATAGTTTATACTATATTATATTACCTGTGTATTTTGGCAGTTTCCCTGGAGTGAATAGGTTTTATTTGTATATTTTTTTTTTTTTTTTGTTAAGCGGAACTTTACCCAGCTTTATAATATTCTTCAAATGTTCTTTCTCTTACATTCATTGACGGACATAGCATCTTCCTCCTTAACATTAACCAAGCTGAGTTTTATAGCCCCACCTACAGGAGTAGGAAACTAGGCAGAAATAAAGACTTGGCACCTCCTATGGGCAGCCTTTCTGGGTATAAAACCCCCTCTCTGCTATAGTTCTCCAGTCTTTTCTGCCTAGTGTCTCAGGAGTATGGAGGTGACGTTTTCTGGGTCTTGTGGTTCCACAAGTTTTCTTTATTTTTTAGGACTTGTGTTCCTGCAGAGATCTTCTATGAACAGTTGAATTGGGCAATGGGCTTGATAATCTAGATCCAGTGGTCACCCCAGTCTGACCAGCGAGCGTGCACAAACCGCCAGCTCCACGCTTGATCAGCCGCAACTATGCCCTTGGATTGGGGTAGCCAATGAGTTAAATGCCTTGCGGGGAGGTGTATGACTGGGCTCCTGTAGTCTGTGTCACAGTGTGCCCTTGGGAGACAGCCCCCCACTTCGTTGGAAAGAAGGATATGTCATGGGAGCTTTACCCGCAAGATCTGCTGGATTAGTAAGTAGTGGGGGTTTCCTGGGGTGGTCGGTCCTACAGGGTCCCCTCTCACCCAACACACCCTTCATGTGGTAGCATTCTGGAAAACCTTAGGCCGGGTACCTCATTCTTGGCTGGACCCTGGTAGTGCGGGCCCCCTTCCCTCTCTTTCCTCCTGCAGTCTGAGACTCATTTGGGGTTGGAGGAGGCCTTATCCTTCTGTGGGCGGAGGTGTCCACTATAGATGGGAAGGACAGGGAGTTGCAGGCCTCGGGAAGGTGGGGGGGGGGGTGCAGGGCACACTGTATGTAGCTGGAGTGGCCAGTGGCCATGTTATTGTAGCTGTGGTGGCCTTTTTTTTTCGAGGTTTTCGGCTTCTGGCCTCTAGTGCCAGGCATGGCGGACATTTTTCCAGTTTTCAGTTGAGGACTGTGCAGGGGGCGGCTAATGTGGTGCCTGTTTGCTTTTGGTACGCACAATCCGGTTTGGGTTGGTAAGGTTTTTCCCTACCCTGAATATTTTGACAGATTTCTTTCATAAGGATTGGAGTAAGCCAAAGCGTCCATTTGTGCTCCCCAAATGCTTCGCAGTGCGTTATCCCTTTGAGGAGGCCTTGCTGAGGAAGTGGACACATCTCCACCGGTGGTTGATCCTCCCATGTCCAACCTTCACAAGGCCATGTTGATTCAAGTAGAGGAATCCCCCCTCATTTAAGTATCCTGCGGATTCCAGGGCGGAGCCAGTGGCCCGCTCGATGTTCACTATCACCGGATTGGTACTAGGCCGGTGTTGGCTACGGCCTTGGTCTCCCAGACAATGACAAAATGGCTTAAGGCTCTACGACAAGTCTTAACCTCTAGTCAGTTGCCTCAAGCGTATCTGGAACTGAAGGACCAGTTTGCCCAGGGCTTAAAGTACATTTGAGACTCCACCCTTGATGCAGCTCCACTTCTTTCAAAACTGTCCATCTCGGCCATTGTGCTCCGGTGGGTCCTTTGGCTCAAGTGTTGGTCAGTGGACTAGACCTCCAAGAAGGCTCTGGCAGACCTTCCCTTTCACAAGATCATTCTATCAAGATACAAGATAGTTTTTCCTTTCTGCCGGACAGATTTTTTCATAACAATCTGCAGCTTTCACCAGAGCACCTGCAAGCCCTGTACAGGACTGTGCAGGAACTGCTGCTTTGTGGAGTGGTCTTCCCAGTACCCTATTTTGAGCGTTTTTTGAGACTTTTACTCTAACCCGTCAGTTTCCAAGGTGGACGGGGTTTGCCCAATCGTGGACCTCAAGGCCCTTAATGTCTTTGTGCGGGTTCACAAGTTCAAGATGGAATCCATTTGCTCCATGGTGGCCTCCCTCTGCCAGGGAGATTTCTTGGCTTCCTTGGACATAAAGGATGCTTACCTGCACATCCCGCCCCCCCCATTTGCGAGGGGCATCAGCACTTTCTACGTTTTGTGCATTATAAATTCATGGCGCTGCCCTTTGGTCTGGCCTCCACACCTTGGGTGTGTACCAAGGTCCTATCCCCAGTCCTGGCCTTATTGAGACAATGGGGGCTTGCAGTGATTGACTACCTGGATGATTTGCTCCTGCGTACGGAGACTTGCTCCAAGTTACTAGACAGTGTGGAGATCACCATGCATTCTCTACAGGACTTCGGGTGGATCCTGAGACTCCGTCCAGGCTCCTGGAGTATCTGGGGCTGTTTCTTGATTCAGAGTAGACCAAGGTGTTCCTTCTGTTTGGAAGCTCCGGTCGGTGGTTCGGCAACTCTTGGCTTGCAGGTGGCCTTCTCTGCGTCTTTGCATGCGGTTGTTAGGCTTGATGGTGCCTAACTTTAAACGGTTCCGTATGCCTAAAATAAAAGTGGAACAGGGCGTCTGCTTCCTTGGACCTTCATTTCACCTTGAAAGGTCAGTGAGGGCCTCCCTCCTTTGGTGGATGAAGTCCCCAGGTCTAGGAAATGGAAAGTCCTTCCTCCTCATTCACTGGACTGTGGTCACAACAGATGTAGGCCTGTTAGGCTGGGGAGGAGTCCTGGGATCGGACTCTGCTCAGGGTCACTGGACTCTGGGGGGGGGGGGGGGGGGGGAAAGCTCAATTATTCATCGATATCCTGGAGCTTCAGGTGTTCAGGTTGTCACTGATGCATTGGATGGACCTGTCGGATCTGCTGACCAGGATTCAGTCGGACAACGCCACTGTCAATCATCGGGGACACGAGAAGTGGAGCAGCACTGGAGGCATCTCACATTCTGTAATGGGCGGAGAGGTTTGTTCTGGCTCTGCCCACCGTACACATTCCATGTGTCAAACTGGCAAGTGGATTATCTCCGCCGTCAGACGCTGGATGTGGGCGAGTGGTCCCTGCATCTGGAAGTGTTCCATCAGCTCTGCGTTCGCTGGGGGACACCAGATATGGATCTCCTGGCTTCCCGCCTCAATTGTAAGGTTCCACAGTTCGTGGCATGATCGTTGGATCCCCTGGCGGACACAACGGATGCTCTGGTGGCACTGGGATCAGTACACTCTCATCTACGACGTCCCACCCTTTCGGCTGATTCCTCATCTAGGATGACCGTGTGCACTCTCCAGCGCTCTAGGAATCAACTGCCAAAGTGAAGCCAAGGGAACCAAGACAAAAAGGTGGCCTATGGATAGCGTTTCGGGGATGCCGCCCTCCTCAGACAGGGAAATCAACAACTGGAAAAAGAGCAAACAGGTGGCGCAAATACCTAGTGCATTATCCAAGGTTTATTAGAACATAAAAAAGAGGAAAACATACTCAGACATAGCATGTTTGTAAAGCTAAGTATGGAAATTGAGATGGCCACAAGCTAGTCTAGCTCTGAGGAAAGGGAATCGTCCCCGAAACATGTCAGCAAGCGGACCACACTGACAGCCGGAATATCCTGCCCACTGTTGTGGCCATCTCAATTTCCATACTTGGCTTTACCAACATGCTATGTCTGTGAGTATGTTTTTCTTCTTCTTCTTTTTTTTTTTTTTTTTTTTTTATTTCTAATAAACCTTGGATAATGCACTAGGTGTTTGGGCCACCTGTTTGCTCTTTTTTATGATTTCTCATCTACTATGCAGGATAGAGGCCAAAGAGATCCCAGTCATCATTTCTCCGGACTGGCCTCATCGTCCGGGGTATGCTAACGTGGTGCAATTTGGTGACAAATACTCCATGGACTCTGCCTCATCAAAGCCACCCTTCTTTATCGTCGCTGGCTTTGACGGCATGGCTATTGAGTGCCAGATTCTGAAGGACAGGGTTGTCTGGCTTGGTGATTTGACTATGCTGAAGGCCTGGAAGTCTACCTCCCCTAAGATTTATCATTGCACCTGGAGAGCCTGTATTGGTTTGTGTTAAGCCTTTGGGTTCCATCCTCGTTCCTTCGTTGTGGCTTGGGTGTTGGCCTTCCTCCAACAGGGCATGGATCAGAGGCTTGCTTGAGTGCAATCAAGGGTCAAGTCTCTGCTCATCAGGCGTCTGTTTCTCAAGTTTGTAAGGCGGCCACCTGGTTTTGATGTGTTGGAATCCTTCAGTGTTAGTTTTGGCCGCAAAGTGTTGCAGGTGGATGTTTAGGGCTCCTGGGTCTCCCGTTTTGCGGTCTTTCGGCATGTTGGCTTGTTGTCCATTGTATGGTTGCCCACCTCTCATTTTGGCACTGCTTGGGGACACCCCTGCTTCGTTGGTGTTGAAGAGGAAGACGCTGTGTTCCTCAATGAAAGCGAGAAAACAGGATTTTTTTTGTACTCGCCGTAAAATCCCTTTCCCTGAGTTCATTGATGTACACAGCACCCACCCCTCTAGGGAGATCTCTTCTTTGACACTGCTCGTGACAGACTGGAGACCTATAGCAGAGAGAGGGTTTTATACCCAGAGAGGACTGCCCATATGTGGGGTGCCAAGTCCTATTTTTTTTTTCCCTGCCTAGTGTCTTACTCCTGTATGTGGGGCTTTCAAACCCTGCTTCATTAATGTTAGAGGAAGACGTTGTCTGTCAATGAACTCCGAGAAAGGGATTTTACGGTGAGTACAAAAAAAATCCAGTTTTTGCAAGGAACATGCATTGGATATTAATTTTGCTACCAAAATGTGTGTGCTGTAAATTGTAGCATTGTTCCTGTTTCTTCTTGCTGGAGGCTGCCATTTTGTTGAAGCCCAGAGTCCTGAGCTGCAGTTAAATCTTTAGGCTGTCAGCAGATTGGCCTCTGCATTTTCAGCAATGCCAAAAAAAATAGAGAACTGAGCTTGTGCAGAGCAGGATGAGACAGGGTATTACTGGAATTTAATCAGTATTTGCAATTATTTTTAATGTTTTACATAGCTGTACTTGCAAAAAGGGTCAGTATGAAGTGATCTTGCAGGACTTATCTTTCTGACTAAAATTCCACTTTAAAGCAAATAAAACCTTTAATATGCTTCACTTATATGCTGTCCAATTACATGACTTTGTTTTTACATATGAACCATGATTTTGACTTTAGTAAATAGAATGATGAATGAGTAATTCAGCAATGAATACATGCAAGTTGCAATATTTCTTATTTTTTAAATTTCTATAATAGGCCCCTAAAGTGGTTCTACAGACTCAAGGTTTTTTACCTTTCATGTATTTTATGCATAAAGGTATAAAACTTGGTGTGCAGCAGTCCTCCCACCTGCCAGGGAGGAGCACCAGTGGTGAACCGAAAAGATGTACACCATAACACTTTGGATCAAGCAAAGCATTCTTTGCTTGATTAGGTGTTCAATATTACAAATGAAGCTTTTACTTACCTTTTTTATCTTGAAGTGTTACTAAACCCACAACAGTAAAATCAGTCTGTATATGCAGTAAAGCATTCTTGTTATGCTTGTTGTGGAACCTAAGAGGTTAATACTCCAGATTGTGTAAAAAGGATGTTTTGATCCTTTTTCTGATCCTCCTCTTGTTCTACAGACTCCAATCCATCTCCTGATAGAACAGAGTCTTGGGGGCAAGCTGCACATGCTCAGTTTAGTGTGTATTGCTTTTTTTTTTTTTTTTTTTTTTTTTTTTTTTTTTTTGGGAGAGTGCATGTGATCAGCACTGTCCAGACAAAGTGTCAGGGGTCCTGCAGCCTCATAGAACAGTGGTGGGCAACCTTTTTTTCAACTGAGCCAAATCTCACCAAAACCACGATTGAAATTTTATTTTGAGAGCCACATTTTTAAAACTGAAAATTCATCCCCCATATAGTAATTCATCCCCCATAGTAATTCATCCCCCATAGTAGTTCATCCCCCATATAGTAATTCATTCCCCATATTGTGTCAATTCACTTACCTTTGCTCCGCGCGTTCCTCTCGCCGTGTTCCCGCGCCGTTCCGGTCTTCAGGGCGGACTGTGAGAGGAGAGGAGTTCGTCACGCTGCCCGCCCCTACATCCTGACAGCCAATGTTTGCCACGCTCCGCGGGCCGGATTAAAAGGTCCGCCGGGCCGTGTACGGCCCGCGGGCCATAGTTTGCCCATTGCTGGGCTAGCTGCAGAGTCCTGACTTTTGGGGCGGCCGCCCGAGAGGAGGGAGGGGAGCGGGCGCCCGGCACACAGAAGAGCCGCATTAAAGTGTGTAAAGAGCCGCATGTGGCTCGCGAGCCGCGGCTTGCCGACCACTGTCATAGAACAATCACGGGAGAAAAAAACTCCTGCTATAAGCTTTAACCAGTGCTCTACTGGACACTGTTAGAAGTCACACGCCGGCTCTAACTGCTGATGGAAAAAAGGTATTTAGCAGTTTATATTTACTAAAATAATTGCACTTCCATGTTCTGTGTACTGTTGGAGACCAGATACAGTGAATGCAGGGTCCTGGGTTTAGTAACAGTTTAAGGGTACAGATAAAAATTTTATGTGATTCCTCTATCCACTCTATACAATGCAGATGGATGGCAGGCATTTTTAAAAATGCACATTTTTAGGAAAAAAAACATTTTTTCATGAATTTTAGTGCACACAAACTAAATCATCTACCCAGTTATTTAGAAAAATATGAAAAGTGATGTGATACCTAACATGTCACAGTTTAAAATTGTGCAAGCCTGTAGAATGGCAGCAAATTACAGTACATTAAATTATCCATAGGCAATGCCTTAAGTCTTTGCAGGTTAGCAGTTTAGAGTTAAACAGCAGGTCTGGCACTAAATTAATACTCTTGCTCGCGGTGATATTTCAGATTTGTGGTGTGATCATCTTTTAGATATGCGTGCAGGACTTACATATGCGTTTTGCATTTGTGCATGAGCACAGGGGAACAGGGGCACTTCACTTTTTTTTTTCTTCTTCTTTCTTTTTACACTATCTCTTTAAAAAAATATTTTTTTTTAATCTACTTTATTACTATCACAAGGGATGAACTACATCCCTTGTGATAGCATGGGCAGTGACATTCACTCTGTACTGAGATATCTAGTAGACCCCAGATCTCTCCTCTGCCCTCAGAAGCATCTTCTCAAACAGATGCTTTATAAGCCAGTAATAGCTTGTAAACAAACTGAATCCGGAAGTGATTTAACCACTAGCCTACAGGGCACTTATACCCCCTTCCTGCCCAGGCCAATTTCCAGCTTTCAGCGCTGTCACACTTTGAATGACAATTGCGCGGTCATGCAACACTGTACCCATATGAAATTTTTATCATTTTTTTGTGACAGACAAAGCTTTCTTTTGGTGGTATTTAATCACCTCTGGGTTTTTTATTTTTTCTTTAACCAAAAACCACTGAATATTTTGAAAAAAAAAAAGTTTCTTAGTTTTTGTTTATAAAATTTTGTAAATAAGTGATTTTTCTCCTTCACTGATATGCGCTAATGAGGCTGCAGTGGTGGGCACTGATAGGCTGCACTGATATGTGGCACTGATGGGCACTGGTAGGTGGCACTGATGGGCATTGACAGGCATCACTGATGGGCACTGAAAGGCAGCACTGATACATGGCACTGATAGGTAGCACTGTTAGGCGGCACTGACTGGCACTGTTAGGCGGCACTGAAAGGCAGTTCAGATGGGCACTGATATGTGGCATTGATGTGCACTGGTAGGCACTGATGGGCACTGGCACGAGGCACTGATGAGCACTGACACAAGGCACTTGTGGACACTGACAGGTGGCACTGCTGGGGCTACACTGATTATCAAGGCACACTGATCATCAGTGCCCTGATGATTAGTGTACATGTCCCCTCCACGGAAAGCCGATTACAGCGTGACAGCTCGAGAGGAGAGAAATGTTGATAACCAGCATTTTCCTGTTTACATGTGATCAGCTGTGATTGGACACAGCTGATCACATGACCGAGCCGACATCTTCGGCTCTTTCCGTGATCGGTGATCCACTGTGTCTGAGGGACACAGCACACCGCCGTTCGCTGCGCTGCGTGCTCCCTGAGCGGTGAGAATGGGAGGATGTCATATGACCTCCTCCCAGAACGAGAGAACCACCTTGCGCCCGTCATTGGACTATATGGCGGGCAGGGGAGGTGGTTAAAGGCTCATTTTTATTTTTTATTTTTTTTTTCCATTTCTTACATCATGGAGATTGGGGGTACCTTCTTTCCATCTGTGTTTACTGGTCCCAACAGTTGGCAGCTTTCCTGGGCTCCCTGATCGGCCCCGTGTAAAAGTGATCAGGGGGCTGTAGAGCCACTCTGATCCTCTACAGAAAAGCCCATCGATGGCTGAAAATTTTTAATAACCGGATTATGGTTGCAGCCATGATCCCAGTATAACAGCTATGCCCCTAAGTGGCGGGGAGTAATTAAAGCTATGATGCAGTTGAGTATAATTCTGGTCTTACCCAGAGCAATATGCATTCACTACTCTACGTGCATTTTAAAGTTGTGCTAAAAAGGTCTTTATTGCCATCAAAGAATAACCATACAAAAAAACTACAGCTGTGTTAGGTCCTGTAATGGTAATCCGAGTTTTTGTAAATCATCTCATTTTCTTTTACTATAAGCCAAAAAATGCAAAAATATATGGATTGTTTTTGTCTTTATAGAAAGAGTGGAGAGAAGACCGTAATGGAGAATTTAAAAGGAAAGTTGCACGCTGTGTAAGAAAAAGCCAAGAGACTGCTTTTGAGTGACATTTAAGCAGCAGCTAGTAGCTTCACAATTTCAGGGTAAATTGGTACTTTTTTTTTTACCTCCCATTTTGTTTTACATTTTGTGCATGTACTTCTACTTTTTTGTAGGTAATATTGCACATGTGGACCAGTTTTTAAGATTGATGAATTTCTTTTCATATTGTTGCATTCATTTCTATTGAAAGGACACTCAAATGGTAAGAGAAATTTATATAGTGGCTGCTTATGTGGACTGTTTTGTGATAATGACAGTTGCCTATCAGCCTCTGGCTTGCATACTGAAAAAATGGCCTGGAATAAGTTTAACAAGCACATATATCAAGAGTCAGATAAATCGGTTCTCCTAATTTGTGTAACTGTTTTTGTATAGTGACTTAGAATGTACTGAATCCATTGTATCGTGACAGCCGGGGACAAGCATTTTCAGAAGTTGTCAGTGTCTGTTTCCTCAGTACAGATTTTTAATGCTGAACTAAGGTATCCTAAGCAGGAGAGTCAATGCGGCGTATAGTGCTAATACCTGCTGAACGCCATGTAATGCTAGAGCAGAGGTAGTGTATTGAGCCAACAAAATCATTAAACTCAAGTTGTCAGAAAAGCATTTGCTTTGGATGCATCATGCTAAATTTAATTCTGGCTACTGTCTGTTGACATTGATGCAGCTGCCCTTGTTTGTTCTTGTGCTTCTATAAACAGCACTTGTTCTCAAGAGTGAGAGGTGAGGTGGAAACCTATACATATGTAAGGCGTTCAAGGTGTGTGAGTTCCAAATGTGCCCATATCAGGATCTTGTGCATACCATCACATTACTATAGATTGTAATTAAAATGTATCTTATGTTCTTAAAAAAAAAATAAAATCTGTTCCTTTCAGAAATGGTTTTGATGCAGTTTAAAGTATATCTAAAGCCAAAAATCCCTCCTCCCCCCCCCCTCCTCTTCTTTATAATGTTGGATTTTTCCATTGCTTGGACGTAGACAACACAGTTGCACGCCTGTGTTTTATACTTGCCAGATAACTTCTGCCTTTTTGAAATGCTAAACATGTTTTTTTTTCCAGATATTTTTCCCTGCTCTTGATGTTAAGTGACTTAGCATGGCTTTAGATGGGTTTACATACATTTTAGTCATGTTTTAGTGGGGGGGGGGGTTGTTTTTTCTAGATACATGGAGTATGCAAAAGAGCAAAATGTAAAGCAGACCAAGTATTTGAAAAGCTTTTTAAATGAAAGTGAGAAGAAATCTCCAGGGTAATGGCAAATAGCCTCTCAGACAGTTGTCACCAGAACAAGTGTCCACATTGGAATATTTTCCCCTATTTCTGTTCTAGTGGCAATTCAAGACTGTCCTAAAAATCTGACTGGGGGTTCTAATCCTTCCCTACGCTATATTCAAAACTACAAACCTTTACAGATTCCTTCAGCACCATATATGTAAACCCTGAAGATGGGGGACTTTTGTAACCCCAGAAAAATATCGTACATGTTTTCTCCTAAAGAGACCTTTGTTGTGACTACAACTATTACATGGCAGTTTATGCTTACAGCTATGTGCTATCCATGTTTACTTGATTATGTTGATTTTGTACCATATTTTTGCTTTAACAACCTTGAATGCTTTCCAACACTTTATTGAAACACTCTGTTGGTGCTTTTTGCTATAAATCATACATTACAATGTAACCTATGAATCGTGACTATGTTTCATACTGATAAATTGCAAACCTTTCATAATCTGTTTTTGTTTTTAAGGTCTCCATTAGAGAAACAAGGCACTGTTTTTCCTGCACTCTACCCACCTTTTGCTGGACTTTTTGTTGTAATGAGTTGGCAAACGCTGGCTGGCACCGGGGTTGCAATAAAACATGCCAGTTATCAATGCTGACAAGAGCCTAACAAGTGCCAACTTAAAGGTGATTTTCGCATTTCAAAATCTAAAGAACTGCTTTAAACTTCAGGAAGAATTGTACAGACCTGTACATAGCACAACATGATCCGGATAATATATATACTGTTCATGTACATCAAAAATACACATTGTACCAAATAATGCTTTCTTGATGTTAGGGTATGAATTATGTAAAGTCTTCTGAGAATGCATATAGAGCAGAAAATATGAAGGAAAAGAGAGCATTTGTAGTTGGACTTTCCCAGATCATCTGTTCAGCTTGATCTCCTGGTGATCTTTTTCTTTTTTTTCTCCTACCTGTTATGTTAAAGGCATGCAAGACTGGAGTCTGGCAGCTTACAAATCTATCTAGGTTACACCTCATCTGGCAAGTGCTCAGTGAGGTCTTTAGGATGCGTATTTTCATTCTGCCCTTAAAATGAAACCTGTCTTCTCTATGCAGAAAAGGCCACCTATAATATTGATCAATAAATAATTTTTAACTCTGTGCAGCAGGATTTTAGATTTTTTTTTTTCTTGAAATATTTTAGTTTACTGCAGTTATTCATGAAGTGGCTCAGTATGCAATGTCCCTCTCATTTTCTTAGTTTGATGTCTGTAATTCCACCACTGAGATGTTTTATTGTGTGGTCACTGCAGGAATTTGGTTACCTTTTTTTAAAAAGTGATCAATATTTTACCCCTAAGGGGAATACGCTCTGGTAATTAAACTCCTGAAGTGCCTTTATGTATCACAAAGACTTTCCAATATATAGTGTAAATTGTTCATTTGGGTCACATGCAAAACCATTTTCTAAGAGTTGAGCTAAATGTATACTCAGCCTGGCTGTAGCAGATCACCAGTAAGCCCCTAAAACCCTGCTGCTTTTATTAAGGCAACCAAGTGACTATTAGTGATTTGCATTTCTTGTACAACCCCTTCTCTTTAGCTGCCTGGTTTGAACTTGAAAGAAAGCATGCATATGTGTAGGTTTATCAGTGTATCTTCAGGGTTTGACACAATGTTGCATTTTTTTTTTGTCCCAGTTTTGTTAGCCTTTTTCCCTCCTAACACACTTCATTGCTTTTATTTCCTTTTTTTTTTTTTTTTTTTTTCCTTCATGACTCATCTTCTGATAATGTTTTTATTCTCCTTCAGCCGTTTTGCTTCACCCAATGTACAAAGAGAAAAAAAATGTGATGTATATTTTCATGTAATTTGATTTTGGAATTCTGTCACCTTCTGTAGTGCGTTCTTCCAAAATATAATTTTTTTTTCCAATAAGCTGTTGTGATTATTTCTGAGTCTGTCACATTGGGGAGTTCAATAAATTGTTGCTTAGTGGTAAATTGCTGAAACAAGAATATTTAACCACTTGCCTTCCAGAGGATTTACCCCCTCCCTTCCTGACCAGGAAATTTTTTGCAATACGGCGCTCTGTTACTTTTTCTGACAATTGCACGGTCATGTAACGCTGCACCCAGATGAAATTTCCGTCCCCCCCCCCCCCCCCCCCAAAATAGAGCTTTTTTTCGGTGGTATTTGATCATTTCTGCATTTATTTTTTGCGCTATAAATAAAAAAGACAATTTTGAAAAAAAAAACTATTTTTGACTTTTTGCTATTAAACATGTCAAGTAAAAATCAGATTTCGGCATAAATTTAGGCTAAAATGTATTCTGCTACATGTCTTTGCTTAAAAAAAAAAAAAAAAAAGAAAATCCCAATACGTGTAAATTAATTGGTTTACATGAAAGTTTTATAGCGTTTACAAATGGTGTGTGTGTATATATACTGGAATATTTTTATTTATTTTTACTAGTAATGGCGGTGACCTGCGACTTATAGCGGGACTGCGGCAGGCATTCTGACACTGGGGGGAACTGACTTGGTGTCACACATCCCCAGTGACACCAATACAGTGATCTGTGCTAATAAAGAGCATGGACACTGTACTAACTGGGCATGAAGGGGTTAACATCTGGGGCGATCAAAGGGTTAACTGTGTGCTGTTTCACTACTTGGGCTGTGTGTGTTTCACTGTAAGCAGTGTGGAGCCGACGGGGGAGATCTGTGTTGTTTATATACAGGTCTCTCCCCTGTCTGAGACACTCGGCGATCACCAGGTGCCTGCGAATAATCGGCTGAGGCCGCGAATTGCGGCGTGGGTAGGGCGCGCCCACTACCTGGAACTGCAAAATTGTGTGTTTTTATACTGTATGTATGTGTGGTGTGTATGTATGTGTGTGTGTGTGTATAGATATGTATGTGTGTGGTGTGTATGTGTGTGTGTGTGTGTGTGTGTGTGTGTGTATATATATATGTATGTATGTATATGTGTGTGTGTGTGTATGTATGTATGTATGTATATATATATATATATATATATATATGTGATATATATTTTTTTTTTCTTTTCCCCGCACCCGTGCCACACTGTAGGGCGCTTACAACCTAAAATGCAGATTGTGCTGCACGTATTTCACTGCGCAAGCCAGAGTTAGAGCAATAATTCTAGGCCCATTATTCATGGTTAAATCTAAACTGATTATCTGTAGGGGCTTTTGAAGCATCCATGAAAAATATAGGGTACCGAATTGTGTTGTTTTTAAGGTGTTTTTTTTTTGGGGGGGGGGGGGGGGGGGTTTTAACTAAAATTTGGGTTATATATTTATGTGCATTAAAATTGAGTGCGTTTTTACTGAAATTTTGTTTTACTAATATCAAGTGACACAAAAACTTTTATCTACCGCTATTTTTGAAAACTGTCTTTTATAAAGGTATACAAAAGTGAGAAGGTAGAAATCCACATTATCTCACGATCAAGTCCAGGTGTGTTTTTGCATAGCTTCCCCGACAAGGGTATACAAAGTGGGTTCCCTAATCCAACTTGGCTCTCAAAAAGTACAGCATGAAATGTAACAAATCATCACATGCCAGTCACAATAGTTTAGACATAGGGCCCGCATTCTGGCTAAGAATTAGCATGATCAGGTAGGCCTATAAGACAAACAAAGGTGGATATCAGAAAAAAAGGAGAGAAGGGAAGAACAACGAAAAGGGGAGAGAGAAAAGGGTATCTGATGCACTTCACTGAATAGAACCCACTACCA